TTTGAACAGCAAGCCACCTGCTTCAATGCATTCCCTATATGCTTTGACAAATGTCTCAAGACAAATGGTTTTGACGGTTTAAGTCTGCAAATGCATCTTCAATAAATTTCTTGAGGTCATTGATATTTCTCAGTTCTTTGCAAAAATTGAATCTTTGATTACCCAGATAGTGAAATCCATTGGGGTCAAATCTGGTAAGCGAGGAGGCCACTCAATGCTGCCACATCATCCTAGCCATCTTCCTGGAAATGTTGCATCATGATAATTTCTTACTTTGAGAGTGCTCCATCCTGTTGAAAGTAAATTTTTGAAGTATAGTGACTTTATTGCCGCCTTGTATAGAAATATCCAATACCCTGGAGTTCAGAAGATTTGAAAACATGGCAAAATTCTCAGCAGAGGAAAGATAAACAAATAGATTATATAATATTTAGCTATCACAAAAAAGAAAAAGGGGGGGAAGGATGTGGCGAAAGTGAGTGTCTTTTCATTTGACAGTAAATTAACTAATTATCAATTAGTGAGAGTGCAAGGAATTACTTGTAAAAGGAATTTCTCATGCATAATTTTTCAGTGAGAATTTTTACCTTTTGGTGAACAGGCAGATCTGAAACTGCTAGGTTTCTCTAACACTCACTTCTTCTCTCTTTCCTTTACTGAAAAATAGTTGGTAAAATTTTCCTAAGTTCAGATTACATGCCTTGTGCTGTTTAACACAATAAGAAACCTGTCTTCTGGTGAAAAGACATCTAATTCAATTTTCAGCTCAAAGCAAAAACAGGCCAGTGTTAGTATACTAGTCTCAAGAAAGCTGTGGAAACTAGCATAGCAATACAACCAAATCAATCCACTATTGAATAATGACAGTGGTCACTAAATATGCAACCACATATGATATTGTAACAGTGTCAAAACAATGTACTGTACTCAAGTAAATTTAGTAAATACTAAAATATTCTTAGTCATATTTGCCCTTGCTTTGAATATTGTTGCCACATCTAATCTGGTGCTCCTGCTACATATTTCGATATTCCTTATAAAATCCAAAGAATTTACAATGTGATCCTGACCTGATATCTTCAGTCACTTTCCCACTGTCATAACATAGCTTCCTTATGCCTTTTCTATAAATAGTTTCATGATAATTGTTCTAATGAACTTACCTCTATGGTACCTAAACACAGTACTAGACTGGTGGTAATGTACCACCATTTTATAGTTGAAATGGCTAAATGAAACTGTAAGTTTTATGCTAACAGTTTCTTTTATCTCATGATGGTTAGTACCTAGATGGGTGACCACTTGAGAATATCAAGTGCTGTAAACTTGGATGCATGGATAGTGTAATGGATAATGGCTTGGAATTGGAAATCAGACAGCTGAGTTCTAATTCCAGTTGGGTTTGTTATATACTTGTTTTAACATCTCTAAAACAAAACTGCTCTCTTTTAATCATCATAGAGAATGTTTTTACCTTCCCTCAGCATGGCTGATGCTAACCTTCAGGAGAGTGGCTCCTTGTGGCTTCTTAGGTTAACATTTTCTGCTGATATTTGGAATGATTATATTGAATCAATTCTGAGGTCTGCTACCAGAAAATTTGCTTTTTCTAAGTTTAAGTCTACCATTCATTCCAGAATTGAATATTGCTGCCACATTTGGTCTGATGCTTCTGCTATGTTTTTTAAAATTTCTTGATAAAATACAAAGAAGATTCTGCAAGCAATGCTATGGGTCCTGACCTGGCATCTCAGCTTCAATCACTTTCCCACTTAGTTGTAATATAGCTTCTCTGTGCCTTTTCTACAAATATTTTCATGGTAATTGTTCTGATGAACTTACCTTTTTTGGTCTGTAGACCTTATAAATTTAAACGTATTACTAGATTGGCAGTAATGGCTCATCATTTTACCATTGAAATTGCTAGATGTAACCATAAATTATATGCTAACTTCTTTCTCTTACACTTCTCACTTGTAAATCTTCTCTTTTGGCTTCTTTCTTCCCTGTTAGCTTTGATCTACAAATATTTAAATACAATGTCAATCATTATCTTCTGTCTTTTTAATTGTTGTTCTTTTGTTTTCTCTCTTTAATAATATATTTTTCTCATATTCTCTAACACTCAGTGACCCCTTGTGGCTTAGTGGCTTTATTGTTTTGCTTGGGGTGAAATGATTAAAAAACAAATATTTTTGTCCTGATTTACAGAACAACTCAATGTTGCATAACTTAATTATAGAAAAAGTTCTCCTGTAGTTGTAAAAACTGTTAACACAAATATACTGCCTCAATATGCAGTCTCAAAATCCCAGTCATTTTGAAACTCCAAAAACTGATAAATAGGAATTTTTTTATTGACTTTAGAGAATTTAATCTGAACAAGCAATTAGTTCAACAAGATACAGATTTAATAAATTGATTGAAGGGAAAAGAGAGGTTAGGAAGTGAGGCGAGAGAAATTGGCATTATTTGCCAAAGGTCTGTATAGTTTCTAATATGTGGCAACAAAGAAATTCTGAAATATGGAATACTGTGAGGGAAGTAGATTGTATGGGAATGGCGTGTCAGCATTTTGTCTCCATTTTGGAAAAAATGAAAGGCAAGAATTCAGAAAGTATATCAGATAAAATTGCCAAATTTCTAATCTTAATTTGAAATTTGTTCCCTGGTATCACCAAATGTACATTTAATATAATTGGCTGAAAAACAAAGAAGCATGAGAAAAACAAACATTTCTACTTATTTTCCTCTCTTCCTCTCCCTCATTCTTTCCCCCTCCCTCTCTTTTTCCCTCCCTCTCACTGCCTCTGCTTCTCTCTGTCTCTGTCTCTTTCTCTTTCTCTCTCTCTCTATATATATACATACTTTATAATTGTATGGTATTAATTGTTCTAAATGAGTTTTATTTTTCAGTGCATATAAAATAGAACTTGTCATTGTATGCAACTGAGATACATTGCTACTGCATATTGTTGATATGACTTTCTGTCTTTTAATTTATTGGATTCCGTTTCAAACAAAAATATAAGAATACTTTGTAAAATGACCTAGACTTTTGATTTTTCTTCCCTTCACTTAACTCATTCAAAAACTTGAAGTTGACTCATTTGATACAGTCTTGATTTTGATATTTTTTGCATCTGCTTGAGCCAGATTTGTGTAAGGCAATTTGCAGGTTGGAAAGGATAATGGATAAAGTTAGTAGAATGTCTATCATTTTTAATATATATATACACACACACATATATATATATATATATATATATATATATATATATATATATATATATATATATATATATATTTTACCCATTAACAGCCTCTTTTACATATTATTGGTTAAATAATTAAAATGTCATAAATATATATATATAATTAAAATGTCATTACCACCAATAGATTTTTATTTTAAATTCCCAATATTTCATCATCTCCAAACTCTATATCTAAAAATTATTTACAAAATATCCATAGTTAGAGGCATAATATTGCGCACAAAATTATTTAAATTTCAATATTAAATGACCCATAGAGGTGTTGATATGCCACTAACTAATAACAACCAAACCTTGTGATTTCACTTTTCCCGCTGAACCAGACTGTACGCATTTGACAAACATAGGAATTGAACTTACATTCACCAGATAACTAGATGCACTTACCCATAGCTTTTATTCACTTATCTAATAAGAGACAGCGGAATTTTGAAACATGAAATATAATGCCTATTCTTTCCATACCAAAGGTTCCAATATGGTGTTCAATTTTATGTTTGGCCTACTGAGAAATTTATCAGAGCTTAGTATGTGTGCTGATCCTTTTAATCACCGTATTAAAATGTCATATATATATATATATATATATATATATATATATATATATATATATATATATATGTAAGCAAATATATGGATATAGATCCGACAGTATGAAGAAAAATATACTGAAAAAACAAACAAAAATCCTTATATGCAATTATGCTGTTTTAATGTTAATATAATGTCAACGTCGGACGTTTCGGTCTAATAAACCATCTTCAGAACATATTCATAAAATATAATTAACATTATCAATTCAACATGACAAAGACAATGGACATAAGAACAAGACTTATCCAAACAGATAACTGAAAGTTTTATAAGATCAGTGTTCCGTTTAAACATGGTCATGTAGTTGTCATGCGACGCTGTGAAATATATATATATGTATATATTACATGAATCATTCATACAAAAAAATGTAAATTGAACTACACCACATACTTGATATATATATATATATATATATATATATATATATATATATATATATATATATATATATAGTGGACATTGAAGTCAACATCCAGCTGTGACATGCTTAAACACAATTGTCGGGCCTGATGATTATGTTTAAACATGAATGTCACAGTTGAGTGTTGTCTTCAATTTCCACTTTATATTTAAATATGCTCTAACCCTGATATTGAGCACTCTGACCCATAAATATAGAATACGTTAATACAATATATTTTTATTGTATATATATATATATATATATATATATATATATATATATATATATATATATATATATATATATAATAGCTGGTCACTTATATTTGAGGATACCTGTCTACCAAGTGTTCCATCTACCCAATTTCCCTCTCAAGGCTTGGGTCAACCTAAGGGATGGTTTTCCTGGCTCTTTCCAAAGGTTCCACACACTAGGATCATCCCCTTCCAGACCAATAAAATCAGGAAGTATCCTTCCTGACAAATCAAATACCTTCACAATCACCATTAGACTCACCCAACTCTTTCCAGATCCTCCGCACTGACATCCAAACACTCTGGGTGATTATGCAGTCAACAAAATAAAAAAGAAGCAATGGGCATGAAATTAATAAAAATAAAAATATAAAATGGTGACAATTTACCAATCTCACCCTGTATATATATATATATATATATATATATATTGTGTATTTAGCCAGCAAATGTTCTTTAAGGCAAATATTATAGATAGATAGATAGATAGATAGATAGATAGGTTGGATGATAGTCCATCTTCTTGCTGTGTAGACCAGATTAAAGTTTTGCTTTAAATGCTGACAAAAATAAGATAAAAAACAATAAAACTAAGACATTATTTAATTAGAGAAATTTTTTTTATAATATTAAAGACAATACTGTCTGAAGAAAAAATAATTATTACAAGATTTGTTTTCATTTTTTACAATTTAAAATTGAATAATTTATAAAGATTTGCATTTTCAAAGTTTTAAAGTTCAACTTAAATGTTATAAATTTTAGGGAATACTGATATTAGTTAAAACAATATTTACTAATCATATATTTTAAAACTTATTACAATCTGAAGACACCAACTATTTTTCTATATGTATATCGATGCAGAATTTCTGAAATATGGATGTATAAATCGATAAATTTATTAATAAAAGCTCATGTGTTTTAAGGATTGTTTCCTCTTATGAGAACAAAAAAACTTGAATGAAAATTGTCATCTGCTACACCATAGATAAGTATGATCATGTTCAGTAGTCAATCCACATTGATTAACTCATCAAGAAAACAAGACCCTGTGGTTAAGAAATGTTTGTATAGAATATTTTGTGCTATAATTAAGTAATATTTGTTTCAAATAAGATTAACTTAACTTTAGTTATGCTAATTTTCCTCAAATAACATTTCAGAAATATATATTTTATTTTTTCAAGATTTTAAATGAAAAAATTAAGTTTTGTTTACAAATGTCTAAAAAATGGCTGATGTGATTGATTTTACTGAAAAAAATGCAACTCTATTCAAATCAATATAATTTCTGCCTGAAATAAAACAAAGTATTTTACTTACTGGATATAGTAAATTTAATCCTTTAGCTGTCATTTAAAGTTAAATTGAAAACTTCAGGAAAGATTTTTCATTTTTAAATATTAATTTTAAACCTTATATATACCGAATTCATGGAGGTACCTAATTTAGATTTATCAGTCAAGTAGATGCTTCAGTTCAAGGGTAAAAAAAGAAATTGTATAGGGGTTTGTTAATATAGGTCTTTTTTCTGTAAGTGTGCATTGTCTGCAGTGCTTAAAATTGCAGATACCTGTAAGTGCAATCCTGCATGTATAATTTTCCTTTTCTTTTCAGCTGTGAAAAGGAAAAAAAAATTAAGTAAAATAGCTGGTTATTCGGTGTAATTTTCGAAAGTTATTTACTTGAGTTTTATATGTTCTTAACCTTTTCTTCTTGTCTATATTTATTTTAGTTTTTGATTCTTGTTTCCTTTGTGTTGTTTTTTGTAGGGTACAGGAGATTGTAGTTGAAATTAATCTAAATTGCAGCTGATGTCATTGTAATGCTTTTGCTTAATGAGAGAGAGTAAAACAATAGAAATGTGAGATAATGGGATTGAAAAAGAAAAAGAGAAAATAAAGAAAGAGTAAAAGAATAGGAATGTGTAATAATGGAAAAGAGAAAAAAAGGGGGAATAAAGTAAGAGTAACATAATAGGAATGCAAGATAAGTGGAAAGAGAAGAAAAGGGAAAATAAAGAGTAAAAATATAAGAATATAATATGAAAGAAAAGAGAAGGAAATGGAGAATAAAGATAGTGTAAAAGAATAGGAATATGAGAATGGGAAAGAGGAAGAAAAGGAAACTAAACCAATAAGGTGGTTGAAGAAAGGAGAAAAAATACAAAGAAAGAAAAATAGAAAAGAAAAGAGAAGTGGGGGGAAAGAAAGAAAAATTCAACAACATTAAGGAAGAATGAAGAAATTTACCTGCCACTTGGCTAAGATTCTTATGTGTTTCCATTTAGTGCCAGAGCCTGAACAGCATTGGATTGCTATATGTTATGGTCCGGTTCCTTGTACCACGGTGATAGTCCAAGGTAGAACCAATATAGAAGAACTCGAACACAGGTATGGAATAACACAGATATATTACAAACAGCAATATATACAGAGAAGTAGAAGTGTTAGTATGAACACTCAGGTTTATAGTCCAAGGTAAAACCAATAAAGAAGAACATGAACACAGGTATGGAATAACACAGATATATTACAAACAGGAATATATACAGAGAAGTAGAAGTGTTAGTATGAACAATCAGGTTTAGTAGAGAGAACAATGTAGTCTCGACCAGTATCACTATTCCAATGTCTTGCAGTAATTGTCTGAACGTGACTTTGTTTTGGACTGCCTCTGACTCGACTCTTGACTCGACTTGAACTACTGACTCCTTAAACTACTGACTCCTTGCCTACTCCTGAGGCGCAGTATTTATTAAGTATGGGATAGTCCATTATTATTATTATGGTTAAGATCCCATAACACTATATGATATCCATCCTCTTATATGGCAGATGAATAATGGACAACCTCTCCAAAGATGAAGTGAAAACTAGAGGCAACAGAAATATTGTTCTATAGAAGGATACTGAGAATTCCATGGATGGAATGTGAAAGCAACAGGAAAGTTATAAACAAAATAATAGCAGAAAACTGATATACAAAATCAGGAAGTGATAGCTGAAATTTCTTGAATAGAGGGCTCAGAAAACTTAACCCTCATAAGGCATATCAGAGGCATCTCATTAGATATATCAGGAGTAACTGCTGTTACAGTGTAAACATGTCCACTCTGCTAGCAGTGTGCACCAAGGAGTAACAAAGAGCAGTGATCTGAATCTGCAGAGGACATGCTACCTCATTGATGATAACTCACTGGTTTACCATTACCATCACTTGTGCTTGCTGAATCTTTTTGTCAGTAGTGGAGGTTGACAGGCGTCCTGCTCCTTCATGCGTCATGCTTGTCCAGCCACTTTTTAAACTTCTTGATCCACTCATACACACTTCTATGCAATACTGTCACCATATTGTGTTAAAAACAATTTCAGCCCCTGACCCACGTTCCGACCAGAGAAATCAGATCACTGTACTTTTTTCCTCCTTGGTGCACACTGCTAGTGAAGTGTCCATGTTTACACTGTAACAACATCAAGAAAACTGATGTGATCAAGTTCAAACTTCAATCATGTGACCAAAATAATAACAACTATAAGCAGGCATGAGCAGACGGCAGTGTGACAAACCAAGAGATATGTTATGGCAAAAGTGCAGATAATTTTTGACTTACCCTCATACATATATATATATATATATATATATATTAAAAAAAGAGAGGTGCCGCAAACGTTTTTTGGTTGTAATGTGGATTTATTTAGAAAAAAAATGTTATGCTTTGTTTTACATAATTTTACGACCGTGTTTCTGGTCTCATGACCGTCTTCAGGTAAAAGTGGAGATTTCTACATATTATTAAAAATAATTAATTTTTCTTCATGTTCAATATGAAATATTCTCGATATGAGACATTCTCTGTTTGTGTGTTGGTAATCCGAATTTCTTTCTAGAAAGAAATTCGGATTTAGAAACATGACGAGACCAGAAACATGTGTCGTAAAATTATGTAAAACAAAGCATAATATTTTTTTCTAAATAAATCCACATTACAACCAAAAACGTTTGCGGCACCTCTCTTCTTTTTAATATACATACTTTTCTCTCGTTGGAACCACTACAACATATTTCTTTTATATATATATATATATATATATATATAAAAAGGAAGAGGCTATAGTAGTTCCAATGAGAGAAAAGTGTATATTAAAAAGAAGAGAGATACCACAAACGTTTTTGGTTGTAATGTGGATTTTTTTTTTTTTTAAATATTATGCTTTATTTTCCATAATTTTACTACATGGGTTTCTGGTCTCGTGACCATCATCAGGTAAAGGGTGGAGATTTCCACATATTATTAAAAATAATTAATTTTTTTCTCCTTTATGTTTTTCAATGTTAAATATTCTCGATATAAGACATTCTCTTTTTATGTGTTAGTAATCCAAATTTCTTTCTTAAACTGGCAGTGAAGAGTTCTGTGTGAAGGGTCATAACACAATTAAGATAGGTCTGAGAGAAATGATGAATTAGTTATTGGTATCTTATCTTTTAATGTTTTAATGACCCCTGTGTGTTCTTAGATCTATTTCCATTTTCATGTGTTTCTGTCAGCATGCATGTATATATGTGTATATTCCCTCTCTATACATACACACTATCTCACTATGAGGAATTAGTACACCGACCAGAAACATGTGTAGTAAAATTATGAAAAATAAAGCATAATATTTGAAAAAAAATCCACATTACAACCAAAACTTTTGCAGTATCACTCTTCTTTTTAAAATATATATATACATATATATAATTCTCTACAAATTTTGGAAATGTGTAAGCATCTGAACTGTGTCAAAGAAGGTTTATTTGAATTATTCAAAAGGTTTATTTGGATTATTTAGAAGGTTTATTTGGATTATTTAGAAGGTTTATTTGGATTATTCAAAAGGTTTATTTGGATTATCCAGAAGGTTTATTTGGATTATTCAGAAGGTTTATTTGGATTATACTTCAGCACTTCAAGCAGTCAAAAAGTGGTTTGGTAGATTTCATTAGTTTAATTTTTAATCTAAACTATCAACCATGCTCCAGGTGAACTTCCAACATCAATGAAGATGCTATGCTTGCCATCAGTGAGAATAAACCAAAGATTTTGACAGAAGAGTTTGCTAAAAATTTGAAAATCAATATTTCAACTACCTTTCAGAATTTGAAGAAACTTGGGTTCTTTTCCAAACTTGATACATGAATGCCACATTGCTTGATGGAACAGAACAAGCTCAATCGTGTTTCTGAGGCAATTGAACAGGAGCCATTCTTGGACAGAATTGTCACAGACAAAGAAAAATGAATTGTTTATGATAACGTCCAATGCAAACAGAACTGGAAACAAGCTTGTGAGTATGCAAAATCTGTGGCTAAAGCAGGCTTGCATCACATGAAGTTGTTGTGGTCCATTTGATGGGCTTGTAGTGGGATAATTCCCTTTCAGCTTCTTCCAGCCAGTGAAACAATAACTTCAAAGACCAATCTACCAAATTTAATGTGGCTATTCAAGAAAAAGACCAATTTTGGTAAATCGAAAAAGTATCATTTTCAACTATGATAACACAAGACCACATGTTGGAAACCAGAGTTGAAATGGGAAAGCTGCCAGCTTCCAGCAAATTCTCCTGACTTGATTCTTTCAGATTTATACTTTCTTCAGTCTCTACAGAACAATTCAAATGACAAAATGACAAAAATAACAAAAAAATTCACTCTTCAGTCAGTTATATACTACCTTAGAATCTTTTTCCCCCCAAAACACAAAGTTTCTATGAAAATGGCATCAACAAGCTTGTAAAACAATATAGGGCAGTTGTTAAAAATTATAGAGACAATGTATTTGAGTAATTACTGTTTTTTTGTGAGTATGTAAAATTTTATTTATAATTTTCTAATTGGGTACAAATTTTGCAATGATGTAGTTTATACAATTTACACACACATATATATATATATATATATATATATATATATATATATATATATATATATATTTATATATATTTATATATACATATATTTTGTGTGTGTGTGTATATATATATATATATATATATATATATATATATATATATATATACTGTATTTAGACAGCAAATGTTCTTTTGAGGCAAATATTATTAAAAGCATCATGTTGGTTAATTTTACTGATTGACTTTTCCAAATTATGAATAATCCTTCTCAGATGAGGAGGAAATTCTGACAGAAATTGTTTGAAGGCTTTCTACAACTTTGGAAAATTTCAGAATTTCCTTATCTGAGAAAGATTATTCATAATTTGAAAAAGTCAATCAGTAAAATTAATTGACACAAAATGTCTGTTGTTTTTAATAAAATTTTGCTTCAAGAATATATATATATATATATATATATATATATATATATATATATATATATATATATTATATATATATTATAGCAATTAGATCAAGATATATTACTTTCTTCCGATAATGAAGTTTCTGAATGTCAAAATAAAAAGTGCAAAGTATTAATTTTATTAATCAAATTATTGGCATAATTAAGTATAATTATATTAAGATTATTTGGCGCAACAGATTTAGCTTAATTCAATCAGTTTCAAATTGCGTTTTGGTATAAGGTACATTATTTATTAAGAGACCAAAAGTGTGAGTTCATGCCTTCGTTAAGAGCATTTGAACATGTTTTCCTGATTCCATTTCATGACAAATACATTTATACATTACACACATACATACACACTCATACATACACAGATTGCAAGAAGTTACCTTAATATTTTATACATGTATTTAAATGATTGATTTATTAATTCCAAAAGGATTATTAGAAATTAAGAGAAACTATTGTGTTGTCCCATTAACAATTTATTTTTTCATTAAGAAATTAACTCTTCTTTGTTGATTGCATGTTCTATTCATGGTATTCTCAGAAACCTTATGTAGACACACATCTTTGTTTCTTCCAATATCCTCTTCATCTGTGAGGAAATTCTTCAGCATTCACTGCCATATAGGAGGATTGATATTACATAGCAGTTCAGTAGTCTTTTCTATGTTTTGTAATGATATTTTTTGTTTGATAGAAGGAAAGTTCAGAGACAAAAGGAAGAGTCAGTTTGAAATTCTACTTGTAATTTAAAAAAAACGAGATTTTTCATGAAATAAAGTGTAAATCATTGAGTTTTAAAAATTCTGAGTTCTTGTTTCAAAGCCAAGAAAGCATTTCATAAGCCCTTACACATCTCTTGGTTCAACCAGGCCTAATCTTCACAGATAGGACCCACCATTCTACTTACATAGTAACAAACCACCCTCATT